TTTTTAGAGTGCCTTTAGGATAAACTTTGTCTTTTCCTAATATTATGAAGGTGCCTGCCTTAGAGATAATGCACCCTTAGCTTATGAAAAACAGCTCCACTGTCTCGGGTATTTTTTAAAAAGTGCTTTTAAATGTGCTAAGCAGCACCAAAGAGATCAGGAAGACAAAACTATGCTTCTACTCATGCTGGAATCCAAAAGGTTGTAGCTGTTTCAGAATCATAGCAGTGGAGAATCCAGGGTTACCACAGGGGCACAACAGCACTGAGAAACCAGGGCTCATGACCACAGTGCACAGAATCACCAATGTAAATGTGTGTGCGCGCGCGCCCGCGTGCCCGCGTGCATGAAAACAACAAGAGACAGATGGCTGGCAAGTGATTTTCCCTTTAGCATTTCTACATGTCTGTCCAGTCTTGTATTTGGGTCATCTGCTACGATAAACACCAAGTGACAAAGTCAATGGAGGCAAAGCAAAGCCATCTATACTGACTTCACTTTGTAATTTTAATTTTCCAGGAAGAGAAACACTTGGTCAAAAGAGCAAAATAAACCATTTGCAAAGAGAGATGTTAAAACAACTCACACTTAGGGGAATAAAGCACATCTAAAATAGTTCCTAGGTTGTTCCCTACTCCATTACTTCACTCTATTGTAAACTGGAAAGGAAAATAAATGGTAAAACAACACTCCTGCACACTTTGCCTTCTTCTCATGACCTGATAAGATAAACTTTGATATAAGGCAAATGCTTCCATTTAACTTCTTAGCAAGTCTTTCTAAATACGCATTTACTAAATACCAGTCATGCCACCAGTGATTAAATATACTGGAATTCTAAGATACCAACTCCAAGGCAGTAGGATTGGAGAGAAGCTTTTAGACAGAAATTAGCAGAATGATTGATCATCTCACAAGGGATTCTTATCATACCAGGTCCAAAACCTAAACTAACAATCACATTAAAAGACCAACTAGAAGGAGTTCAGTATTTTTAAGGGGAAAAAAAGGTAGATTCTGAAACAATTATTGATATTCCTTCCTTAAAATAATGTCAGTTAAAATCACTATGGAGAAAATCTTAACTAGTGTTTCTATGAAAATGAAGATTTACATTCACATTTAAATGAAAAACTAATCCAGTCATGTACTATGAAGAGTTTTAGGTATTTTATTTTCTTTTAGTGGAAACTGAACCCAGGAACTTTATACTAAGTTACTCACTACTCCTATGTACTCTTTTTATTCTTCTGAGACAGAGTCTTGTTAAATTGCCCAGGCTGGGCTGGAACCTGCGATCTTCCTGCCTCAGCCTCCCAGGGTGCTAAGATCTCAGTCACGCACCAGGTACTTTTCCACTAGAGTGGCAATTTTTGCTGTGAAATTGTTTCTCCAAGCTTCACACAATTAGTGTGCAACAGAATAGCTAAGGGACCTGTAAGTAATGCTAGTGATGAAGGCTAGGTTTACTAAACCCAACATGGACAACAAGGAAAAAATATCTTCAAGTGTCTTCTACCACAAATACATTTTCTTTTCTTCATGAATTATTCTACCCACATGAGAATTAAAAATGTGCAGAAATGACTTAACCTTATTTATCTGTCTGTGTGTCATAAAAGGGCATGCCATTAATCAATTAGATAATATGAGCAAAATGAAATCAGACTTCAAAACATTTGTGATTTACCTTTGTTTTCTTTGAAGTAAACTGACTCTTCTCAGTGTAATCGCTATGAAAAACTTACAGCAGTATTATTTTTAAAAAGAGAAGGGAAAACGCTGCCATGTCTTCCTCCACAAACATAAGAGAGCAGTAAAGTTTGGGTCAGCAAGTGTTTTCCACTGACCTAAACACCAAATTTCTCTAGAAAATAAGAGCAACTCCTTCAAGGAGTCACATACAACGTGACATAAAACTGGGCAAAGGTTGCGTATTTTAAATCCCAGTGTCCCTTAACCACCACTGAAGATTCAATACAGTCCTGACAGTACACTGAAGGCAAGGGAGGAGAGAATGCAGTGTGTTATATCATCTGAGGCTGTGAATTCTACTTTTCTACTGTTTGTTTCAACACATCTCACCCATCTTAAGTTGAGCAAAGAAACACTTGTAAAATATTAAATTTTACCACAGGGAAATTGATTTTGCTTTAAGAAAGCTTCACGTTACCACTTAATTTCAACCAAGCTGCATCAAACATTGAAAGTAATTACATACAGTTTATAAAGTCAACTTGATCACTGTACTTAAAAGAAATGATAACTTGGAGAAGTACCACAGCAATCACGTGCAAGCTGAAGCAAGATGAGGCCCTCCTGAAGTCAATGCCAGATTCTTCAGGCTCAAAGGCAGAATCTTGATTCAGTTAGGCAAGTCAGGCCCCAGAGCCACCTCTCTCCTTGAGCACCACTCTCTTGCAGCACTGGCCTGTCCTTTCGGAACTAAATTTCTCGAAAGTTCCAGGGGGGGCAGCAGAACCCACAGATGCAATTTAAACAACATTTTAAATGTGAATCTTTGCTGTCTGAAATGGAGTTGCGGAAATACACAATTATGATCCTGCAGTTTCCCACTTGGCTCCCTGATTCTCTTCCCCATTCACACACCAGTGAGTTACAGTACTTGGACAGAAAATATGTAAGTCACAATACACAGCGCACCTTGGTAACGAATCACTTTAACATGCTGTGCGAGAGAACAAAGGAGAACTCCATTAGCACGTGTCATAATTCCTAAGATATATAAAAATGAAGTTTGCTGCTCTGACGATCTCACATATTTAAGAGTATGTGTTTAGGCAGGCAGCTCAGCTAAGAAATCAGAGTAATATACACTTTTTAAATTGTAGCAAAGTATGGTTCCTACTTTAACCTTCAATATTGTACCAGCAATACGGTCTGCAGATCATATGCGATCAAGCGTACAATATGGGAAATCATCCCACCCCACTCAGGTTTGTAGCTTGAAAACAGAAGTCAGGAATTTTAACACTCGATGTGACCCACAGCATGTGAAGAACTTGTAACAGTTGAGAATCATCGCTGCGCAACTCAGTTATCAGCACACTCCACCATTCTCCCAAAGTTACCATAGCCTAACATTTCTGACCCAGGACTCAAGAGCGCCGAATAAGCATTAGACCTACAGAAAAGTGTAGTTTAATGTTAAACCTTAATTTTCAAACACTTTCTGCTCACATGACCACTCTTAGGAACTGGACAGTAATTAAGAATAGGAATAGGAATGCTTGATTTATCACAGTCTTCTACAATAGTGACAACACTACAATTTTTAAAATTAGTTTTACATTCCTGGTTTAAATGCTTACTTCTCAAACTGCCCCCAACAGAGCCGGCCACTGCACCACCTTTCCCCACCCCGCTCCTTCTCAGCTCATTTTGGTGAAAAGCCACCCATCTTCGGAAACAAAGGCTTTTTCCACCAATGTCCTAGAAATAGCAGATGCACCATCACACAGAATCAGAAGAGAAGCAGCCCGGCTCACCTCACTCTTACATTTCTCAGAGCGTGCAGGGTAACTGCTAAAATCAGTTCACTGTTGAAAAGTTGAGCAGAAGTTTATGCCTCCCAGTGCCTTCCTATCAACCCAGCTATGACAGACACTACATGCAATGCATTAAGAAGGGTTTGTGGGCTATTTTTGCACCTATTATCAGGTGATTTCATAACAGACATGTGGGTGTGGAGCAAGATTTGCTGATTTAAGGCTTACATCCGTGAGCACACTTTTAGCAGAAGAGTAGGCACACACCAGAGAATACAGGACATGGCTAATTAGCACCAGGAGAAGAGTCTGCCTTCGCCTGCCCTCACTATCAACCACTTTGCTGAAGTTCACTCTCCGCCTCGCCCTAACCCTGGGGACCCATTCACTTTCCATAGCCCAGAGAGGCTGTTGAAAAGCTGTCAAAGTAAATCTGTGCTCACTTTTTGGATGGTTTAATTTCAATGGAGCATGAAACACCCCAGGACGGTTAATAAGTTTAGCCAGGCGTGCTGTTCTCCCTAATATATTTTAATTATGCATCTGTTTTAATTGTAATCAGATTAAGTCACCGGAAAGGCACAAATTGGGATTTTCCCTAATGGCTATTGGAGCTTTTCATCAGTTTCTAAACACTAACAACGTTTAAAAAATAGGTAGAGACACCAGCACAACTGTGACATTTTCCAGGAATCAATGCAGTTTCTTTGACAACAGAGTTCGTGTCTCATTAGCCACCCAAACTAACCCAAATGCACAGGACAACTTCGGTCTCTAGGGGCGTCTTCTTCCCCAATTAGCACAAGAGGATCTGTAATGTCTAATGCAAAACTTCCAAACAGAAATAAAAGCCGGAGCTTTATAAAGTGCAGCCCCATCGATTGGCGAGGGAGGCTGCTGGGGGCGGGGATGGGCGGCGGAGACACACTCAGCGGCGCTACCTTGGCTCACAGTGAAGTACCTTACGCGTCTAAAGGGAAAGTTGAAGCAAAGAACGACCTCTCTTTTCACTTTTTTGACAACTGTCAAAACTTGCGCTTGAACTTGGGGAAATAAAAGTGTCTTATCAATAAAAGGAAACGGTACAGGGAAGATCTCTTACGGGGCAGGGAGCGGCTTCCTTCCAACCCAGACGTAAAATCGTTTAATGTGCTTTTGTAGCACCAAGGAATACCTTAGACTGTTTTTCTTTCTTTCTTTAAAGGAAAATACGTTCATTAAACAGTTCCCCTCAAATTGCCAGGATTTCCGCTAAGAAACTTAAGCGTCTGCCAACAGGCGAGGAGCAAGAGGCAGAACCTGCTGCAAACTCGGAGCGGAGCGGAAACTCCCGGGCCCGCCCCGCGCGCTCCGTCCCGGGCGTCCGCCCTAGGTGTGGTGTCCGCGCGTCTCTAACCCGCCGGGTGCTGAACCAGCCCTCCGAGGTGCACTCCGAGCCTCAAAGCGGGAAGCTCGCCGCGGGGTCCCCAGGCGCAGCCGCCGCCCCCTTACCTGTCATCGTAGCAGAAATCCGCGCTCAGGGTGTTGAGATACAAGGCGAGCCCCAGAGCGCTGCTCACCAACTCTGCAATCATCTCTCCACCGCCTTCCCTCCGGCTCGGCTCCCAGCGCGAGGGCAGCAGCGGCAACAAAAAACAGAAGCATCAATCCCCACCTTCCGCCGCCTTCTCCTCCCAGCTTCACTTTTCCCTCGCTTCCCCACCCTCCCGCCTCGCCCTCCCTCGGGTCCTTCCCATCCGCCGCTCCTCTCCTCCGCCTCCTCCTGCGCCCGTCTCCGAGCTCCCGCGTCCTCTAGGCTGGGACTCAAGCCGCGCTCCCCATGCCGGGCGCCCGCGAGTGGCGAGCGGGATCGGGCTCCGCGCCCCCGGCGGTGCACAGCGCTGGTCCTCCGCGCGGCTGGGCCCCCACCCTACCCCATGGCAGTGAGGGGCGCCCTCGGGGAGGAGTGGGACTCGGAGGAGGTGCAGGAGTGCGGCATGGGGACCGAGGGACCGGACCGCGCCGGGCGCTGGGACCAGCTGGAGGAAGGGAGAGACCGAGGGCGGGTGGGAGGGACAAGGCGAACCGCCTCCCTCCGCCGCCTCCCGGGCGCACGGCTCCGGGCTCAGACCGACTCCAGCTGCCTGGGCGGCTGCAGCACATTCACTCTTTATTAGCTCCCTGCCCGCCCCAGCCCATTCTCCGGTGGAGTGAGAAGCGGCGGCGGGGGACTCCAGGCGCTCCCGCGTGGGGTTCTCGACGCGGCCCCCCGCGCCTGCGTGGCCAAGCCTCCATCGCGGCTGGGCCCCGCCCCTTCCCCCGCCCAGCGCGCCCGAGGGCCCGCCCCCCGGAGCGGGAGGCTCCGCCCGCCGCCTCCGCCTTCCTCCGCTTTCTTTCACCTTCGATTTCTGCCTGCAAAGCCCCGGGGACGCGGACGCGCGCGTCTGGACGCCAGCCCGCGAGCAGCCCGCGCGGCCTGGGAGGGGCGCTGTCCGCGCGCGGAGGCGGGAGGAGGCGGCGGGCCGGGCTGCGTCTCAAAGCCCGCGCTGTGAGAGCCCTGCGCTGCGGGCGGAGGCGGGTCAGCCGGAGAGACCGCTGGGACCCGGAGCGAACGAGCGGCTTTGGCGGATGCTGCAGGCCGGGTTGCCGCGGACGTACCCGCGGTTTCTCACGCGCGCCCGCGCTGCGGGAGCCGGAGTGGAGAGAAAGGCCCAATGGAGAGCTTGGGCCGCCTCTCCGGAGGGAGATGTCAGCCTCTAACCTACCCGGCCATCGACCCAGGGTCCGTGGAAAAACGTGAGAGGAGAGAAATGTTCCCTCAGTAAGGTTAAAAGGAAAGGATCCCCCCAGGAAAGAAAAACACACACGCGCACACACACGCGCGCACACATGCACACACCCCGCGAGGATGGCGGCTGGGGCGCCTCTCCCGGGCTCAGGACTGGCACGCTGAACTGAGTGAGACACGCCTCGACTGCGACCCGCCGCCGCGCTCTCCTTAAGGCGAGTCAATGAGAGCTAATGCCCCTTCCTTTCCGCCCGGATGCAGGACTGGATGGAAGGCATCCAACACGATGAAATATGGGATAGAAGAATGGCCCGGCTAGGACGAGCTCTGGGTACTAAAGTTGCAGGACCAAAGAGGGCCGAGGGCTGTGTGCCACACCTCCTCCTGGCTGGTCCCCTCGGGCTGAGCTAGTGACGCTTCGACCACGATGAACACGACTGCAGCGCCCCCTGCTGCATGGTGACCACAGGGCCTGGGAAAGCGAGTGTTTTCCGTGCTGATGGACTCGATCCCTACCCAAGAACAGCCCCTGACCCACAAGCTCTCCGGAGGAAGTGCAGCGAGCAGTTGAGCCTCCCGGAGCCCTGGCAGTGAACTGAAAATTTTAGGAGCCTGCAAAACAAAGCTGCCTCTTTTCCTGACTTTACAAGGGAATCTGTGAAGTCTGAACAGACGCAGAGGAAGTGATATTTATTATCCAGAAAAGGTAAATTTTGTGCCCAAGGAAAAACGCAAACATAAGTAGAAAGGAATTACGTTATTAAAGGCAGTGGTTGATTCTTCTCATTGTTTAGAAGTTTTTAAAGTCATATTATTTGGTCCAGGAAGTCAAAGTCCAGTAGAAGTGTTCACCGTTATTAATATAGTCTCCAACTTCTTTTACCTGTGAACTAAAACGAGGCACCTATCTCCGAAATGTATCCCACTCTATACTCCTCCAATCCTAGTTCTCTCCACTCTCTTCTCATACATGGACTAACGCAGTGCCCTTCCAAGTGGTCGCCCTCTACTCTGTAATCTCTTCTTTTTCCTAGTCTTAACTTCAGACACGAGACAGAAGATTTTGAAAACTGGAAACTCTCCACTTAAAACGTCTGCAGACTGTCTGCTGCCCACTAAATAAAGGACCAGTTCCTACCGTGGCTCCTTCGGTCCTGACTACCTCTCCCTTCAGTCTGTGCGCAAGGCGTACATCCTTTTCGTCACGAACCATCCACTGTTCCTGCTGCATGGAGTGCTTTTTCCCCAGAATTTCTCTGGCTCCTTTTCTCAGTAGGTCTTAGCTTAAAGGCCATCGCCTCAAGAAGTCTGCCCTAGCTCACACTCTATGAAGCGCGCGCGCACACACACACACACACACACACACACACACACATCAATCTTTATTCCACCACCCTGCATCATTTTCTTCATGGTCTACATTAGCAGCTAAAATTACTGCTTGAATGGAAGCTTCCCGAGGGTGGGACGCTTATCAATCTTATTTTCCACCTAATACCTACAACCTATATCATCTGGACATGTAGAAAAATACTTTCTTAAAAAAAGTTGACAATAAATGAGCAAACAATGTAATTAGGAGAAGCTGTGTAACTGAAAGTCTGCAAATGTCCAGCATGAGAGAAAAACATGATCGTCAACTATAAAGATGGTGAAGAATTGACAAAGGGAAGAGAGAGGAAGTAGGTTAAGAATTCTTAAGCATGCATCGACTCAGGAACGCCAGGGTGCGGAAGCCACACATGAGCAACTCTCTTGAATAATTAAGAAGATTCAGAGGCATAAAAATACTAAAGAGCTTTTGGGTTCAATGTGCTAAAAGCTTGTAAGCATTTTCCAGAGCCGTCTCTAAGCCCCAGTAGTTTTAAATATTTATTTCTTCCTTCTTCCACCTTCCTTCCTCCCCTCGGCCCTCTCCAACTCCTCTGAATAAGAAATGTAGAGGAATACTGCAAGATATGGTACATCCTACCATCCCTGGGAAATGAAAGGCTGGAAATCTAGCTGTACTTGAGAAATTCAGCTGCTTTTAACAAATTTTCTGTTATAATTTAACATGGGCCTCAATATCCTTCAAGTGCATTAAGACACAACCTCTTTTACATTGCTCTCCAAGGGCTGAGAAGCAGCCAGTTTCTGCATTTTCTACCTTCCTTGGACAACTCTGGAGGGAAAATTGGATTAAAGATGTCATCACTATCCTTGGAGATCATTTAAAATCTGGGAACATAGTTTCTTAGTTTATTAAGGTGTACTTAATATGAGATTGCTGTTTTGGTTCTGAATTTATATGTGTCCTATTTAAAGCTACTGCTGCTTTCCACAGATGAAGGAAATTAGGCTGGTTGGCTTGAGTTTTCTACCATAGACATAAGACTGGCCAAAAAAGTGCTAAGCCCTTATTTTCCCGAGTAGGTTCCACACATCTGCTACCTCACCACTTCCTCAATGAATTCCTTTTTATAGTTGCCCAGACCTATGCTGCATTTGTTCTGCATTCCCAGTCCTTTGTTGTATAATTCATACCTTTGCAGTGCCAGTCCCTCAGGGTAAAGATTTCCTTATTTGCCTAAGACATTTTTAGTTTATTGTGCAATACCATCTTCCCTTTGGGTGTTGCATAAATATTAACTAAAAAATCCACATCTGGTGTTAGTCGTCATTTCTATTTGTCCTAATATAACTTCTCTTTGAACAACTCACTTGGAAAGTGAGCCAAGGGTGAAATGTGGCACATAAATTCTCTTACGCTGTGCTGAATGCTTTTTAAAATGCCCACAGATTTGGCTATTTATGAACAGAAGATTTGCACCTCTTTCTTACTCTCTCAGTTCTAAAATTGTAGCAGGCCAAAGTAATTACAAGCTCCCATATGTTTTCTGAAAAGGTATCCAGAAATCTCCTTTTAAAATCTTAACAGATTGACTAGGTAGCAGAAAAACACTAGCCCAGCAGGTGAAACTGCCTGTTTAGGGAGGTCAGAACAGAGCTCTCTGCTGTGGGATTCATGAGCTCTGGGCTTTGCTCAGGAAATAACCCCGCAGGAGAAAAACAGCAGAGCATGGATGAAATGTGGGTCAGGGAGTTGAAGGAGGCGCATGGGCTGCTTGGCTAACTAATGACAGCAAATGCACCGGCTGCGGATGTCACATTTAGATGTTTCCCAGCATACCGTGAAGTGCTGCCCTGCAGACACTGTAGCCTATAACATGGCTTTATCTCAAGGCTTGTGATCCATTAGGAATATAATTAGGACACTACAGACACAGAAACAGATCCTATCACCTCTGTCACAAAATTGGGGCTGTTAAAAACCAGCTGCTGCCAAAATAATGATCATTTTAAGAAACTCCGTTTCCACAGCTTCCAATTCAGAGGCTGTGGGGGTGGGGAGAGAAGAGGAGGAGTGGAGAAATAACATGTTAATACCCAGATACGGATAATTGCGGAGACGTTGAGGCTAACGATAGAATTCAGAAACTCAATCAAGAAAAGCACAGACCTCCTCCTTCATAGAATTTCTCTGAATGCATTCACATGCACTGGTATAAACAGTGATCAAAAATATTCTCATAGCTTGAAACGTGGCACAGTCTCTTGGGTAACAGTTTTAATAAGCCTTAGATTCTGTAACATAAAAAAAGAGTAGAGGGAAAATTAGTTTTGATGTGAATGTTAGTTTAAAATAACCAGTTATTCAAATAAGCAGTTATTCATGAATTTTGCCTGATGTTTAAGCCAGTTTTTTCCACAGAACTTTCTGCAGTCGATATTTCATACCTGTGACGTCCTATAGAGTAGCCATTACATACACGCGACTGTTGTGCAGTTGAAATTTCGTTCTGTATTAATGTAGTGACATGTGATTAGTGGCTACTATATTAGCAGAGCTAAAGCTGTGAGGCCTTCTAGCAGCCGCCCAC